ATTTCTCTATTGCCTTTCATCCGCAGTTCCGTTTTCTTGAAATGATGTGCAGGAAGGAGACAGAGAGGGTGGGCTTTGTTGTTGTGTTCTTGAAGCGAAAGAGGAGCAACGAACCCTTTCTTTCTCTTCTCTACTTCTTGTTCTTCTTCCTGGTGGAGCATAAGAGGGAACAGAGGCTAAGAGGAGAAAGCCTCTGTGTGTGTGTGTGTGTGTGTGTGTGGCGAGGAAGGACGTTCGGGGAGTTTTTGCTCCTCATCCTTTTCTGGTTTTGCTTGGGCCCAGAAGGCAATGGAGTCCTTGGAAGATCCACCGTGAGGAAGAAGGTTGGTGGGTTTGCTCTCATCTTTCATCTGCACTTTGATATTCTTTAGTTTTCTCTTGAGCTAAAGGAAAGGAAAAAGATATCGAAATGATGCACAGGAAGAGTTGTGTTCTTGTAGTTCTTAATCTTCTTCTGATGGAGAAGGAAGCAGAGGTGAAGAGGAGACACAAATCTCTCTCTCTCTCTCTCTCTCTCTCTCTCTCTGGCGAGGAAGGACATACGGGGAGTTGCTGCTTCTCATCCTTTTCTGGTTTTGCTTGGAACCAGAAGGCAATGGAGTCCTTGGAAGATCTACCGTGAGGAAGAAGGTTAGTGGGTTTGCTCTCATCTTTCATCTGCACTTTGATATTCTTTAGTTTTCTCTTGAGCTAAAGGAAAGGAAAAAGATATCGAAATGATCCACAGGAAGAGTTGTGTTCTTGTAGTTCTTAATCTTCTTCTGATGGAGAAGGAACCAGAGGTGAAGAGGAGACACAGATCTCTCTCTCTCTCTCTCTCTCTCTTGCCTTCGTTGTATTCCTTGAGCGAAGGAAAAGGAAAGTGGTCTAGCTTTTGTGGGTGGCTTGTCCATTTGATTCTTGCAAGACCTTTTCGTCTGTGCCGAGCTGCTCATCGAGGGGTGTTGTAGGGAAGAGGGAAGAAGGTGAGGATAAAGAAGACGAGACAACTTGTGTGGTCTCCTCATGTATGAATGCAGCAAATGGTAGAAGCAGATTTAAAGATTCTAAATACAAGAAAATATAATTTTTTTTTCGTTCATTAATTTTTTTTTCTGTATATAAAATAAGACATATATATAGATGTATAATTAAGAAAATTAATTCTATTTATTTTAGGTAATCATTTTATTCTGATTCATTTCTTGTAATATGAACTGATTTGATACTGATTGAGAGTTTCCTAATTATGACATTAATTTATTTTTTTTTAATTTGATACTGATTTAATATTAATTTTTTATTATGAGATTATAAAATTTTCTCGATCATGATATTATAACTTGTATAAGTAAGAAAATTAATTCTATATAATATTTTATTTTGATTCTTTTCCTATAATATGAGCTGATTCGATATTGATCGAGAATCACTCAATTATAATACTAATTTATTTTCTTAATTATGATATAATATATTTTCTTAGTTATAGGATTTAAAATCTTTTAAACATGAGATTTTCTATAATTTTGATGATTTATTATACGGTCCGATGCAAATCTTATTTTCATCGTTTACTCTTTGTATAAAAAAAAGACACACACATATGTCATGTATTTTCTTGAGTGCAATTCCTCGAACAATATCGGCTTTTTCTGATCTATTCCTCTTTGTTCTTGATTTTTCCCACTTATGTTTGACTCCTTTGATCCTCTTTAATTGTTCATCCAGTTAATATCATCATGAAACATAATAAATTTTGATCCTAATGACTCCTTAGCATTATTTTCTCTGTGGAATCATCCAAATTTCTAAGTCAAACCTCATTTGGAGTCCAAAGTCAAACTTCTTTCTTTAACCACCAAAAGTCAAACTTCTTTCTTTAACGCCCATTTGAATGAATCACGCGGGAAAACGCGGTCCAGTGGAGGGAACTCTTTTCAATCTTTGACCGTCTCCTTTCCCACCTCTTCTTTCCCTGCCGATCTCTGTCGGTCTCCTCTCCCTCTCCCTTTCTCTTACTCCCATCCGATGAGGAGATCGTCATCGCCACTGGGGGTTCGTTGATTCCAGCAAGTAAATGTCTTTTTCTTCTTCGATCTTGTCTA